TTTGGTTGCAAATGAACTTCAAGCCCTTGCAACTGTAACTGTCAATGCTCAGTGTACAAGAAGAGAACACCAAGACAGTGGGTGAAGTGGACACAGGAACTCAATACTACCTTTGCAACTTTTCTATGAATATAAAATTATTCCAAAATAAAAATTGCATTAAAAATGTAGAAAATTAAAGAGGAAAGCACAGCCAAGAAGTGGACAGGAACACAGCGTGTTGTAGCTTGGATCAGGATGTTCCCCCAAAGCTTCATGAGCTCAGAGGCAGAGCTTGTGGAAGGCGATTGCAGTACCGGGGCCCTGCACTTGACCTGACCTGCTGCTAGAGGTGGGTCACTGGGGGCAGGAGTGGAAGGTCTCCCTCCCAGCCTCCCTTCCCTTTCTGCTTCTGGCTGCCATGATGCAAGCAGCTCTCCTCCCCTAGGCCCCTCCACCACGCCATTCTGGCCTTGGACTCAGCGAAGCATGCCAGGTCTAAAAGTTCTGAAACTGGAAGGCAAAATAAGCCTCTCCTCCTTTAGGTTGTAGGTGTCAGATATTTGTTCTGTGACTAAAACTTTCCTCATAAGAAATATAAGTTTCAGGGCCGGGGATGTAGCTCAGCAGCACAGCGCCTGCCCAGTAAGCATGAGGTTGTGAGTTCGATTCCCAGTACCAAACAAACAAACAAACACAAAGAAATGTAAGCTTCATAAGAAATGTGCTATTCAAAGGTAATTTCAAAGAGGAAACTTTAGGGCTGGGGTTGTAGCCTAGTGACAGAGCAACTGCTCAGCGTGCAAAAGGCCCCGGGGATGAGACCGAGCAAGGAAGGGCGAGGGTGGGGAGAGGGGAGGAAGCTTCAGGGTTAGAGGGTAGGAGCTCACACGCAATAAAGTAAGACAAATAAAAATGACAAAGCCTAGCATGAACTGGGCTATGAGCAAGGACGTGTATTCTAAGATATTACTGATGGGATTATATGCTTTCTGGAGAGCAATTTTGCAGTAAGTGACAAAAGCCATATAACCGGTAAACTTGAAGCTGGTAATAGCAGTTTCAGCAACCTCTATCAAAGCCGTAATTTTAAAATAAGTCACTTTTTATGAAGTTGTAGCTCTGCTATACATTAGTGGAAACTGCCCCCATGGCTGCTGGTGCCTAGACAGATTATGGTGTTATTAATTAAACGGGATGTTATAATGGAATTAAGAATGGCAAACCTGAGCCGTGGAAAGGAATATGGGAAGTAAGTTTTTAAGAGCTCATTACATGCAGCACAGCGCCCTAGCTTGAGTTCTAGAACAGAAAAAGGACATCAGTGAGGGGGATCTAGTTTCACTGCACTGTGAGTATGAAGATGTCACTGTGAGGGAAAGTAAGGCTAAGGACACACGGGAACTCAGCTTTCTCACTCTTCTACGAATCCATAATTATTGCAAAGTAAAAAGTTAAAGAGGTCAGAATTATACATGAAATTGCACACATATGTCCATCAACGACAAAATACATTTACTGCATTAAAATTAGGTAGAATTGAAAAACATCTTTAGTTATATACTCTGCACCCTTGGAGGAGTGAGTGAGTGAGTGGCTCTGTGTGTGCGCGTGTGTTATTGGGGATTGAACCCAAAGCTGCATGCATGCTAGGCAATCACTGTACCACTAAGCTATATCCTCAGCATTTTTTTTTTTTTTTTAATTTTGAGGTGGGAGCCTCACTATGTTTCTCTAGGCTTGGACTCCTCCTGCCTCAGCCTCTTGAGTAATAAATATTTTTAAAGAAAGACTATTTTCTGTTTATTTGAGAGGCAGTAAGTTCCCCAGTCCTTGGCAGACTGAAAGAACTGTACAGTTATTAAAGCAAGTACTTTCCTTCTACAAAGGAGCTTGACCACCCAGGAAATCTAGGCCTTGCACTTCTCAGTCCGAGATGCTAGCTTTGGGCTCCAGGGAAGGAACGAATGGCAAGAAGTAACACCTCCCCGCCAACCACAGTGGCTTTATTAAGTCAGGTCTAAACCTACACTGAATCCCTCAAAGCTGGCTTAAAAAGATAACTGGTTTAAGGCTGTTAGATCCTGAACCATGCTGCGCGTCTGAAAGAGCAGCATACCTTTTGTCCCGACACTGGGGTCCCGGGGCTCCAGGACCCCGGAACCCCGGAACCCCGGGACCCACGTCCCAGGAGCTCTAAGGCCGGAGTCCTCCGCATCCCCACCGCTGGGGGTGGGGGTGCTGTGTGCACCCCTGCCGGCCCCCCAGCAGATTCTCCCCACTCCACACTCTGCTTTCTCCTCGTCCGGGCCCAGGCTGTGTCGTAAGCCTTGCTGTCCGAGAAAGCCTGGGGCCCAGGCCTTCCGCTCACAGTCTAGAGCTCATCCCCAGGTCGTGTCAGAGAGAAAGGCGTCAACACTCTCACCACCCCCACCCCCACTCCCACCCAATCTACTCAGCATGGGTCATGCTGGGGCGTCTGCTGGTGTCAGCGCTGACTGGGAGAGGGCTCACTGCCGCCCAGCACGGTGACAGCGCGCCCGTCTCTCACCAGCTTGGAAAAAGATCGAACTCTGAAACTTGATTTCCCTTTGAATACAGACCACTTCCCCACCACTTTGAAGTTGAGAAACGGTAAGCTGGGAACCACCTGTAATCCACAGGGCCCATTCCTACTCCCTCTCCACGCAAAACAAAAACAAGAACAAGCCCACCTGTACGCCAGTTTTTCTTCCTGAAAATCCTATGATTGGAAAAACTGTATTTTTTCTTCTCTCTCGTTTTCCTTTTCTTTCTATATTGTTCCCACCCAGACTGATACACTGATTATTGCCTTATATATTCTGTACTTTACCAAAACAGGATTTGTTCTTATAAGTCTATGGAGCAAAGTAGGACGTACACATAAATAATATAACACACATTTTTTCCCTGAAAACTAGACACAGCTTTGGCATCTCGTGACAAAGCCTCCCTGCTGACATGAACAAATCCATCACAGGTGCTGGAGGAGACACACTGACAAGAGAAAGGCGGCAGATGAAGAACTCACTAGGCAGTACAACTCCGAGGAAGACGAAGCCCAACGCACCCACTCAGGAGCGCAGGAGCAGCCCTCCCTTCCTGTCAGAACCTCCACCTGCAGCCCCTCGCCCACTCTTGTCACTTCACACCAGGGCCCCCCACAAAGTGCAGGAACAGGCTCTGAGGTGCGGCTTCTCTCCTCCTCCTGACTCTGCTGACAGCCCTCGTAAAACACCAGGTAGCAAAGCAAATCACTCACAGCCCGCCTTCCTGTTTTACTCCATCCATTCCCTGCCATAAAATTTAGCTTGGAAGGCCTGTGTGTGAGCAGCAGCCCATCCTCTCCAGGTGTGCCCAGAGTGAAGCTGCATCCCCAGGAGCAGTGGAGGCTCCGCTGAGATCCCCGAGAGCCTCAGGCAACAGGTGGCAAGATGGCAACTGCTGGCAAAGGCGCCAGGTCTCGAACCTTCATGGTGTTCCCCGCTTACCTACTAGTAAGGAAGCCTATCTGCTATTTTATCAGAAGCACAGATCTGCCTCAGGATTCAGAATATCCATGGCACAGTAGGGAAGGGTTCCTTTCTCTCTGTGGCACAGGAATGAGTTGTAGGGCGAGGAGGGCATAGTGACATTCCATCACAGTGAATACCAAGGACCAGCAATAATGTGTAAATGGGAAGGAAATATGCAAAATGAAAATCCGAGGGCTCCTTGTTCACAAGTCCGGAAAAAAAGGAAAACAGAGCTTTCGCCGTCTTCTGCATCCTCTTTCTTGACCTGCTAAGGTGCTTTCCCATGGAGAGTTCATGTTACCCTCCCTCAGAGGGTGCAGAGTGAATACAAACCCCACAGGTGCAGGGCGCTGGCCATGCCTTGCTGTACACAGGCCACCAGCAGTGGGACAGATCACCACCTGCTGGCCCAGCAGGTGGAAGCTGAGCCAGGAACCCCTTTTTCCCGTGGGCCCATCACCCCGACCCACGACTGACAGGTGCCCAGCAATGTACTCCGACATCCAGTCGGGACACACTAGGCTCCTAGGTTGGGAAGAGGCAAGAAGCTCCTCACAGGACACCTGCTGGATACTCTGTGGTGCTGCCAGGCCAGGCAGGGCTGGCCACTCCCACGCCCCATCCTGCGACACCACAGGGCGGGCGCCTGCCCCCAAACAGCCCCATGTGCATGGCCAGACCCCGGTGGCAGTGGAAAGCAGGAGCCTCCGGATGGCAGCGGAGATGGGCAGGCCTAGCAGGGTGCCAACGGGCCAGGCAGCTAAGAACCCCCCAGGCAGCAGGAAGGTGACGGGACTTCCCACAAGCCAGGGCTCCTCCGCTGGTGCTTGCTCCATTGTCCCACCAGACTCCAGTTATAGAACACAAATTCAAGTCAAACGATTAAAAATTTCAAGAGAGTTTCTGTGGAGCATTAAACCCCATGCAAGGAGCCCATCTGAGCATATGGCAGTGGACAACTGCACTGGTCACAAGCCGATGATGGTTGTCCACCAAGCCCAGACATAGAACACAGATGCTAGCCTTCATTTTTTTATCTTAAAACAGTACCTCCAACCTGTGCTTACGACAGGGATCGCAAACCCATTTCGCCTTGCTGAGGCTGCTCTAGCAGAGCAGGGAGCGGCGTTTCACACCTGCCTGTTCAGGCTCCCTTCCATGGCTCCGCAAGGCAGAGCCGGCTATGTCTAAAAGCTTCTGAAGCCTGCTCATGTGAGCAGCAATGTCAATTTATTACACTTGCAAAGAACGGCTGGAGTGAGACACAGGCTGTCTGGATGGTTACAGAAATACCCTCAAAGCTAACCTGGCTTAGGGATCTTCTTGAAGTCTGGGAGATCAAGAGAGAGGATCAAGGGCTCATTACTTATTACGTGGCTCTGGGGTGATGATTTGTAAAAACTGGGCCATTATCTGAAGTCCTTACGTCAACGCAAGAATGTGATCTGAGAAACTATGGTTGCTGAAAGCATGATTCTTACAAACCTTGGCTTCTGGGTCACTGTTGATACTACAAGAATCATCATCATCAGCATGAGGGGCATTTCTAGAACAAAAAACAGAAAACCAGTCTTAGAGTTAGTTCTACGGTTAATACGAGTAGCAAAAGCCACACACTCGGGGACACTTCCAGCATCCTACCTGAGTTTCAAAGATGCATAGCGTAGTGTTGCTCCTTCAAACTCTTTTAAACTGGGATCTGGGTTAACTGTGGCTGCATGCAAATCCTAGAGGAAAACAGATCCTTGTTAATGTACAATAAGGGGAGGGGACTCCGTGTGCCTCAAATATCACAGGGGAGAAAAGGCCCCAGCAGAGGTGGACGGTGTGTGGGTGCTTAGGCAGAAAAAGGCATGCAAAGGCTGCTGGAGGCTGATTTGGTGCACAAGCGGCTGCTCTCACAAAAACAACAGGGGACCTGGGGCGATCAGCTCCGCGTCATTCACAATGGGATACATCAAAAAGGCAACACAAGTGTGAGCTGCGCGCCCTGAGCAAGAAGCCCCATCACTCCATCCCTGCAGAACGCATGATATTCACGAAGGAGAAAAATAGACAGCCACAGCCATGCAGAAAGGAACAAAATATTAAACGATCTAAAATCTGACAATATACTTGCCTTCCAAATGTCACTATTAATCTTTCCCCCATTCAGAACAGCAAAATCACTCCATGGCTGTTTCTAGACATATAATTATTCACATAGGTAAAAAGCACATTGATTTAAGGGGAAAAAAAAAAAAAAGGGAAAAAAAGAAAAAAAAACACAAGACACTGTTGTTAGCATTGATATTCACAGGATGGGTTAGGGAACAAATTAACTCTAACAGCAACTTGTTAGCTCACTCTCTCTAAGACTAGTTATCATCTGAAGATGGGGCAGGAGGAGAGACGGTACTTTCATTACTTACCAAACAAATGACCCAACATTACTAGAAGCAGACAGTGATTTGTTAAATGTGGTCTTTAAAAGCAAACCAAATGCTCCCCAGCATTAAATCCCTAGCACACCTAATTCCATGGGAACATCACCCCCCTTTAATCAAACACCAGCGTTTTCTGGAAGAGGGAATGAAATCAAGGATGACACTGTGCTGTTCGGAAACTAGGGACTGCCCTTTGCAAAGGGCACAAAAATCTGGCTAAGGACATGTGGTTGTTACTTAACAACAACAAAAAAAAGACAATGAGAGGGAGTGAAGGTTAGTAAGAGTTAGAAACTGACATCGACATATTGCTGAAATTTATTTAACCCAGCAAAAAATGGTCCCAAGCAATCTAAGGTAAATGTCCCTGACTCATAAGCAGCTCCACTACCTCGTCACACAAGCCCCTTCGGAGATTAATATCTGGAAACAAAATGATTTTCTGAACATAATCACAGAACAAGCACGAAGCCTTGCCTGGTAGGAAAGCTCCCGAAATAGATCTAAAAAACCCCTCTGGTCCAACCAGACAAAGAGAGGAAAGAGAGGATGCCTTTTCTATTATACCAAGGGAATACTCCAGTACTTTTCATCTAATATGTGCAAAATTAAATGAAATTAATAAAAGGATGGTCCACTGACTGTTTAGGCAAGTATATTTTCTTTGGTAATAAATCAACGAAGGGAACTTCTCAACTAAATCACTTTTTCAACCAAAGCTCTTTGAAAATGAGAAGTAAATGCTGACCTAGAACTTCTATTCACATTTATGTAATTTTTAAGCTGCTAAGAGCAGATGAACTGCAGTTCCAATGTCCTATATAGGGGCTGGGGATTTAGCTCAGCGGCAAAGCGCCTGCCTGGCAAGTGCAAGGTCGTGAGTTCGGTTCCCAGTACCGGAGAAAAACCAAAAAAAAAAAAAAAAAAAAAAAAAAAAGGATAGCCAATGTCCTATGTGAAAAGATGCATCTATTGAGGTCTGCAGGATTTGAGGAGGCAAAACCATGGCAAATGAGCTCCCTTCGCACTGCCACACAGGAGGGGCTTGCTCTCGTCTAGGGGTGCCTGAACTGCCATGTACAAAATATAAAAGAACTCAGGTCACTATACTTATTTTTTAAAATAATCTCTTTTAATGAATAAAAGGGCAGGAATGCTGCCCAACCCCTTCCGTCTTTCCCCCAAACAATGTTCAGCCTGTTTAAGGCACGACAGTTTAGCTCAGAGCACCTGCAAGCCCATGACACGGCAGTGGGGTCTTGGGCACACGTGTGGTCCTTGGGAAAGATGCCCATTGTGTTTACAGAGGCCCCAGAGACCAAAAAACGGTTTACAAGCACCACTGGGGTGGTTCTAATAAGGACTCTGATAAATACCTAAAAAATCAAGTACAAAATGAATGATAAAGTTCAAATTTCTTTATAAACTACAAAATAAGCTAGTGTGGCTCAAAATTGTCACCCTTGTTTTGCAGGTGAGCCACATCTGTTTTCTGCTTAAGCCAAACTCTGAAAAAGGCTGTAAGATAATGAATTAGGGACACTCGAGATAACTGTGTCTATGTAGAAGCATTTAAAGAAAAATTGAAGGAGGGGTGCCTGAAAAAGAAAAGTGAAACCAGGAATCATTCAAAGGGGCTCTATGTTAGGACTGGAGAGGATGGAAGAAGTATTTTTTTGAATTAAATTTACTGGTACAATTTAGATATACATAATGATCACATTCATCATAGGGGATTTGCACCTGTCCACGATGTGTCTTAGTTCCTCCTTTTTTTCCCCATTCCCATCCCTTCCCTTCAATCCCACTTCCCCTCCTCATTTACAAAGCTTTATTTCCATTTTATCCTTTTATTTTCTCATTTTTTTTCTTAGAAAGGAGTATTTTCTAAAACCAGAGTCCAGGAAAGTTTCAGCACTTAATGAAAATAGGTCTCTGTGTGCATGTGTGATTTTATATATATAAAATATATATAGTATCTGCTCCTTGGACACTGGAGTCTCTGTAAAGTGAAAGCTGACTACAGTTTTAAGACTATATGAAGCCACTGCTTATGTTATGGAACACGAGTTGCCTGGCCACCTTCCAACAATCACCTTCTATAGATTTAAATAAACAAAGGTCCTACACAGAGATTCTGTGAAACCTTACAATAACATGGGCACTCCTAGGGAGATGTTTTACTATAAAACTCAAGGAAAAATGAAAATTGGCATTATATGTATTATGATTCGGTTCCAGATCTCTTTTCCCCTACTATATTTAAGAACATTCATTTATATCAAAGATGAAAAATTTTCTCCCTAGTGTAAGTGACCGTAATTTTCTCTTCTCTTTTTTTGTGAAGTCAGTAAAGGACAAAAACACAGTGTCTTAAATTTTAAAGCTACACAGACCAGTCATCTGATTGTTTTTAATAGAGAATAATTTTTACATTTAGCTAATAATTCTAGCTAATAAAAATTTTAAAAAATATAATCCACAAGAGAATCTTTTAGATTCTACAGAAGTGTGTAACCACCCTAACCTGTGGTCTTGGTAGTGGGGTGGGGGCGATACAGGAAGAGATGAAGAGAAAGCAGTAACATCAGAAAGGATGGGAGGACACTCTGCTTCAGGTAAGAAAAGGCAACAACCAGGGAGCTGGGCAGCAATGGACAGAGATTATCTTCCCTGGGCAACAACCTCCCAACTGATGATCTTCAGGAGATGATGGTAAAGCTCCTGACAGCCAAGCCACGCTCTGGTTCCATGGCTGTCCCTGGGGACACAGTCTCTCCTAGTGCTTGTTACCTGGCCCAGGTTGCAGCCTCCCTTACTCGAGCTCCAATGTGGGAAAGCCCAGGAGACTCAGCCCCTGACAGGCAGTGTATTTGGTGTGAGGGGAGGGTGGCTCCAGTGCCTGGAACGTGGTACCCTTCGCCACCCTTTGGCACCACACAAAGGCTTGGTCAGGGGGACTCACTATCGAATATCGGGTTAAATAACCCTTAGTTATTGCAGGCTGATCAGGCCCGCAATCTCCCAAGCTAGTGGACAGTGAAGGCTTAAATAAATGAGACAATGGAAATGATTTCAGGGCTCCAGGAGGGACTAACTCTCTTACAGCTTCAATATTCTCTGAGTTTAGCCAAAGACTTCTCTGGGTAGTCCATATTTATTTGGTTTACAAACAAAGGTGAAGGATACTCAAGAAAAGGCAGGAATCTGGGCAGGACTTTTTAAGTAACACATTATGTTAATTTAGGAGAACTATGTTATCTCCAGGAAGGCCTTCGCAGCAGGAGTGAGATGCCTGCAGCTGCAGTCTTCTTGTAGTTAGTTGGGGTGGCAGACAAGGTACCTAAGCTTCAGACAACTCATAAATAAACACGGAAAGCCAATTGGTTAATATTAAATCCAGCTCAGAGCCACTTTGTAATGGTCCCCAACAACCCACTACAGGAAGCCCTCATCTAACCTGGGTTTCTGAGGACTGCTTCCTCCCCATTTCTCCTCTGGGTTCTTGGAAAGCAATTCCACAAATCATACAAAAATAAGGTGTTGGGGCTGGGGATTTAGCTCAGCGGCAAAGCGCCTGCCTGGCAAGCGCAAGGTCGTGAGTTCGGTTCCCGGTACCGGAGAAAAACCAAAAAAAAAAAAAAAAAAAAGGTTAAAAAAAATAAGGTGTTATCTTGCCCAAAAGATCAGAGTCAGTCCTTTGACAATGCCAATGAAGTATTCTTGAGGTGTCTCAGGGGCTAGGAGTCCCTGTGAGGGAATCTTCTTTAGGGCACGCTATGGTGTGAATGGGCCTCCAAAGCACGTGTTAGAAACAACCCTTGGTGCAGCAGTGTAGGGAGGTGGGGCCTACTGGGAGGTGGCTACAGCACGGAGCTTCTGCCCCCACACATGGATTGGGCCCGTTGCAAAGGACTGAGGCTGTACATTCATTCTCTTCTCTCTCAGTTCACAGGAAGATGCACCAGGAACCTCTGCTAATGGGGTCCCTTGAGCTTAGACTTTTCAGGCTTGAGAACTGTGTACCAACAGATTTCTGTTCACCTGGTGTCTGTTGTGGTCTGTCATTGGAGCACAAAATAAACTTTCTCAAGATGCTAAGAAAGTCTCTGTGAAGTGGTACAAAAATGCAAACCAGAAGTGGGGAGAGAAGGGTAAAACCCAAGAAAAAGTAAGAGAGGAAAGCACCGGGATATTCTGCAGTGGGGTGGTGGGGGGGCAGAGGCTGTCACCACATTGTCTCTGTGTGCATCTCCGGAGCTCTACAGCCAGCCCAGCCCGGGTAAAGCCAGGGTCCTGATCCCACTAAATCCGCTGTCATCTGCCATGTGGCCCTGGTTCCCTCATATATCAAACAGGGCGGAGAAGACCTCCCCTCTGAGTGAGGACACAGCGAGGTGACAGTGGTTGCCCTTGGCACATGAACTGGCTGCCAGATAAGGTCAGTGTCCTTATCATCTACTCTTCTCCATGCCGGAGATGGAGTCTGATGCTTATGAAGTGTTCAAATCATTCTTTTCCGACCTGTTTCATCAAGACTTGAGCCTGGACAAGTGTGGCCTTCATGGAAATGGCATAAAACCTGGAATACGGAAGTCTCAGGAATAAGCAGGCAGCATGAAGGAGTGCTTTACACAGTTACACGTGTCTGTGTCTCCCTCCTTTCTAAAACACTCTGTGTTTTTGGCAGGTGCAACATTATTAGAAGAGTACAATACTCTCCCTTATTCATGGTTTTGCTTTCTACAGTTTCAGTTACCTGAACTCAACAATCCAACAATATTAAATGAGAAATAACAGAAATAAACAATTCGTAAGTTTTAAATCATGCTTCAATATGAGCAGCATGGTGAAATCTCACGTCATCCTTCGCCATCCTTCCTGGGAAGTAAAGCGTCCCTTTGTCCAGCAAATGCACACTGTATATAATCCCTACCTGTTAGTAACTTAGAGACACTCCTGGCAATCCCCTGCTGTGCTACTACAGTACAGTATCTGCTTTGGTGCTACCTAAGATTTTAGGCAGACACTAAAGAGATCTCAGAATGTAACCCCCAAAGATAATGGGGACCTCTGTACAGCATTAGGGTTTATCATACAAACACAACTCAAGAGAATTAAAAAAAAAAAAGAATGATAAATAGACTGACAAAGGCTTGTGCAGTTAAATTAATCCCCAGGAACAGCAGGAGATCTGAGGCTCTCATGCTGGCTCTGCAGAGAAGGCAAATCCACGAACAGGTCCCTCAGTTATGAGGCTGGCTTCTCCTTCACACAGCACACACCGCATGAACTTCACCACGTACGACGAGCCATGCAAGGGCTGGGGACGCAAGGTGAGTGCACCAGGTCCCAGCCCCCAAGGAGCCCTCTGGAGGGAGACCGACGTGCCCCAAGTAATGATGAGAGGAGGGGATGAGATAGAATGAAGAGCATCCAGAGCAAAGGGGTGACAGTGACAGTGTTTGGGAGATGCTGAGGCAAGGCCAAAGAATTTAATGAAGTGCTACATGAATAAAAATAAGGAGACTTGATTCTCTAGAGGATCATGCTGTCCTACTCAGCATAAAATCTCCTGAGAAGCTTACATAAAGGCATATTCCAAGGCCCTTCTCCCAGAGCATCTGCCTCAGTGGCCTGAGACAGACCAAAGAATTGGCATGTTTTATGAGCCCAGAAATCCTCCTGGCCACCATTCCCAACTTGCAGGCTGGTAAACAGAGTTTTCTAGGCCTTTCTCCAAGGTTCCCTCTCCATCTCTGAAATGTCATGAGTATGTGAATGGGTCCAGAAGTCCAGTGAATGACCTTTTCCACTGTTGTTCTCTAATGTCTAAGGAAACATGGAAACGCACAGGTTCTAAGGCACACACATGTTCTGCCCTTCCTGGGGAGGTAGCTGCTCAGGAAACAGAGGCCATGAGCACTTCGACAAAACCAGAGTCACTTATGGCCAAGACAAGACCCCAGTTCTGAGAATCAGTTCACCTGTCCTAGCTCCAGACCTACTTTTCTCTACACCCTCTTCTTGAGGACCTCCAAAATATCTTCTCTTGAAAAGATTGTACAATTTCACCATAAGCCAATAGTTATTCATGAAAATATTTTGTGTGGCTCTCTCTTTACTCTAAAATTCCATATCCAAGTAATTTGGAACAAATAAATGGTTTGGGAGGGGAAATTACTGCGTGCCAAATTTCAGCAGCAAATGCTTCCTGGGCAGTTTATAAACTTTCAAAAATACTGCTGGCATGTACAGGGGAAACATTACCCACTGCGCTTAACACTTCCCAAGTGAACTTTGGAATGTGAAATGTAAAATTTTCAAACTGTAAGGAAGCCTTCAGTCTGAAAGTTTTGTGAAATCAACAGATTTGGCAATTATTTACTTGATTTTTTTTTCAAGCCAGCTCAGGAAAAAGCTGAATAAAATATGCATTTCTAACACGATACATTACATGTTTCTTTTCGTCCTTAACATTTTGTTTTCTCTCATGTTTCAAAATTAGTTGAAATAGATGCTATTTAGGGATCAAAGAAATGGTGTTAGAGAAATAATCATCTCTCTTCAGCTGTCATTTGCACCTGAAACACTGTTATTAAGAGAAGATATTTTCTAGAAGACTTTGTATACTGCACAGCCCTCCCTTGGCGGGAGAGGAAGATTCAAGAGTCTCCAAGCTTCCTGATCCATTTTGTAAAGCGTGGGGAAGAAGCTGGGATCAGCAGACCTAAATTCAGTGTTGACCAGCTCTGAGATCTAACCAAGTTCCTTAATGTCTCCATGTCTCAGTGCTGTTTTAGGACTCCTGGGACAGGAACCGGGCCTCAAAGTTAGTCCAATCTCTTCACCTCAGGGACAAAGGGAGACGGAGTAGGCTGAAACCCCAAAGCTAGAGATGCTGGGTGAAGAGAACTCTGGCAGAGGATTCATGAACTCTGAATCCAGAGCCAGTGCCACCGCTGGTCATTGACCTCTCTACGCCTCAGTTTCCCCAGGTGTAACATATGGAAGCTGGTAGCAGATGGCCCTTTCCTACCCTGGTACCCTCCAATTGTAGGGTACTTGGTGAATGCAATTAAAGGGTCAGGATGCGGGAACAAAGTTCTAGATGGAGAAAGACCCAATCAGAGATACTGAGAAAACTAAAACCCAGGTAAGAAGAGCAAGTCTGCCTGGAGTGAGACTAGAGGCTGCTCCTGGCCACTGCCCACCTGGGGTGACCTCTGCGGTGCCACAGGATGCCAAGGGTGCATCTGGGCTGTGACAGCATGAGACCCCCTGCATGCCAAGCTCCTCAAGGGCTGGGGCTGTGCTGGTTTGTCTTCAACCCTCTCAGCACATGGAACCCAAGATGAGTTACTCACTCAATGGGAACTGCCAAGAGAGTAGGAATTCTACGCTTTGATAAACCATTATCACAATCACCCACTAATAAGCAACAAAAGCCTATGTGTATGGTGCAGCGGTACTAAAGCACACGCTTGATGATCAGAGCAAAATACAGATTATCCACGGTGCTGGTCTACCCACAAGGGTTCAGCCCTCTGACCTATCACTTAGAAGATGGAGAGCTGGGGCTGTGGCTGATGTGGAGACCTGTAACAGCAGGAATGGGAGCTGACAACGGTCTTACGCGTTCCAGAGAGGAATCAGTAAATAATCAAACAGAACAAGATGCTGCCTACTTTTATAGACAGGAAAGGTGGTAACAGTTGCAAATACAGAAGCCCTGTAGGTTAGAGAGGCAGCTCAAGTGCACTTCATGCCCTCAAAGTAAAAGAAAATGGGAATTTTTTAAAGAACAAAAAATTATCATCAGAAAAAGGCAGAAATGCCTGGGTAATAAAGAAACCACTTTTCTCAAAAAAAAAAAAAAAAAAAAAAAAAAAAATCACTTAATTGTGACTCTCCCAACTATAATTCTCTTGAATATCCTGTTATCAGAATTTACAGGGGTTCACTGCAGGAATCTTCCTATTAATGTACACCACAATGGAATGTTTTAATGCCTCAATTCTTTGTTTAAACATCCAGATTTCTTCCTCAGGGACAGCACGAATTTATGCTGCTAATTATTTCTAAAATAACGTCACTTCTGCTAAATAAATAGGTCCTTTTAAAATAGAAATTAAACATTCAAGAGCTCTCAAGGGTTATTCTTACAGATGCTTCTCCACATTAGCAAACACACCCAGGGCTAATAAGATACGTGGTAATTATAACACGCCTGGCCAAGAGATATTCTTCTACATGTAAATATTTTATTGAGCTAGTACCATGAAATGGTACCTGCAGAGTAAATTACTGCCATTAGGAAACCTAGGGAATCTTAAGCACTTCTCATTAATCAGTCCCTCTTGCTTTCTGTACCTAGAACAATGTTTCAAGAGACCAAAACCCATTAAAAATGAAAACACCCCAAAAGATGGATATTAACACTATCTACCAAGAGGAAGCGCTGCTGAGATTTCAAATGCAACATGCACGATAATGAAAGAGCTTACCTCAATGACCTGTTGGGGCAGAAGCAACTAGTCTAAAGAGAAATCACAAGTTACATCTACTCTAGTAAGCTGGTAAGAAGACATTCCGTTTTACCTCATTCTCTGGGGTGGGAGATGGCGTAACAGAACTAAGAGACCCTTTCCTAGAACCCTGAAGATCCTCTGGGATGGAGACAGGCCGTTCCCACTGAGTTGTCCCTGTTGGGATGTGCCAGTAATAGGTACCAGCGATGTCACTGATTCTTTTCCAGCCCGGCGGAAGATCTGGATCTGTGTGAAATGAGTGATCACTCCAAATATCTGCTGAGAAATGGAAAAAAAAAAAAGAAGGTTTTATTAAAAGAGGAAACAAGCTTTCCAATTTTAGTACCAATCACCAGGTGACTCTACCAATCACCAGGTGACTCTTGCCAGAAGAGTCTAAATGAGACAAGTTCAACCATTCTGGGAAAAAACTGGGAAGGCAGGTTGACACCTGAAATATGGACACAAAGACTTCATCATCAAGATGTCCTACAGCTCCAAGACCCTGTGAAAAAGCTAATATATGAAGCAGAATCAACTACCCAAGCAAATTTCACACAGTTATACATAGAATCTGCTGGATCCCCTTGTCAATTCGTAAGATTTACTGGCTAGCATCATATATCATCTCCAGCTATGAGTGCAGATGATTTCCTCACTTTCCATAAATGAATAGCATGTATACCTTTCATGCATTTTAACAACACTTCCCATTTGACTGTAAACATCTACAAGGTAGTAATGTCTTTTCTAATATTCTAAAATTCTAACCTTCACACAGAACATTCCCAGGGAAAGTGAACTGGAAAGGCTTTGGAATTCAGGAAGGGGACAGACTGATTCTAAGAACAGGCCAGGAATGTAATCCATGCATGACAATGGTTGTGGGAGCCGAGAGAGAATGGTGGAGGCTGCAGCAAAAGAGCAGGCATCTACAAAACCCAAAGGCATCTGAGCGGCACGGTGGTCACCAAATTAAACACATCCACTGGGCAATTTCAGTCACACCTGCTCTGTATCCACATTTTATCAGTTTATAACTATTTGCTTTTAAAAATCTTCCTCCTGGACTTCTTAGAGTTGAACATGAAATGGATGACAGTGCTAGAGAAGAGAGGCGATAGGAAAAAAATTCATACACCCAGGGATATCAGAGAACATTCAAAGGCAGCTGTACCAACGGAGCCAGGCAGAAAAATTTCAACTTGAACTCTCATCCTGAGCATTACTTTACTCTAAGGGTTGGACCTTTCTCTCCACGGTCATATAAAAAGAGACCAGATCGCTTTACTGCAATTCAGATGAGAACACATGTGGCCCTTGAGCTGTGCAAATGTCACTGCATCACATGGGCAGGCGTCACAGAGCTGTTACAGCCACAAGAAAAAAAAAAGCAACAAAGAGGCTGATTAAGACCACGGGCACAGATGTGCATTCATGCAGTTGTCTGGCATCCCAGCATCCACTTTTCTCATTTAAATCTGCCAGAGGCAAAATTGCCACTAGTCTCAAATTATGATGAAAATCCCCCCCACAGGAAAATTAAGCATGATTCTATAATTTCAAGTTAACTAAATTTTGCAGAAACAACTCTCACTACATGTGTTTACGCGCCTGTTTCCTGTTCCTTTTTGAGGAGGTGCAGGGGTCGTTTTTAACTGCAGTTTTGTTCCCAGCATCTCAACTGGGATGGGAGAGGTAAAATATATGGTTTGAGAATTAAGCCGGAGAAAACACTAGCAAGTGGGTTCCTTTACCCCATTCTCGTGCTCATACACAGGGAGTGCCGGGGCTATGGAAAGGGCACACAGAAGCTCCTAGTTATTATTTCTGTGGTAAAGAGGTCTGAGGTCTGAACTGTCTTGCCTTAGCGTGTGTGAGATATACCCACATGCACCATCAGCATACGAAATCACACCCAACCAAAGGCAGAGACCAAGGGCAGGGGATTTCAAGCTTAGCTGCCTAGAGAGGCACCTTGAGGGTGGCATAAGAGGGGCTTTGTATTGCTTGCAGGAATTGGGCTGTTCTGTCTTCAACCAAACAAACCCCATATTTATCTGGTTTATATGCTAAGTTTACACTGAGATTTTGTAGGAATAACAAAAGCCATAGAAAGCCCCAGAATATTTTAAAACACCTCAAGTCACAATATAATAGATATCCTTACATATCCATCAGTGTAGTGAAAATAAAAATTACTGCAATTTCAATTAGTAGCAACCATTTGAACTCGTATACACTGCTAGTAGAGGGGTAATTTGAGACAGTCACCGTAATTAGCAGGACTGAAGGTATCTCTATGCAGTGACCTAGTAAGTCCACACGTAGTATTCACCCTGGAGAACAGGTGTGTGCGTACCAGGTAACATAGTCATAAGAATATCATTAAAGCAGCCCCAAACCTCAAAACAAGCCAGACAACCATTCACAGCAGAATGAATAAATAAATTACAGCAGGATAAATAAACAACAGAAATGAGCCAAGGACAGGTGCACACAACAATATGGATGAATTCCACAAATATGCCACTGATGAGATGGAGGCAAACAAAAGAGAATACATGCGCTACATCCCCATTCCCATACAGTTCAGGAACTCAGTCACATTATTTAGGGATATGCACACACATGGTAAGAGAAACAGAAAACTATAAAGAAATGTAAGGGTGCAGCTATAAGAAAACACACACTAACAAACATCTGAAAGTAGGGGTTGAGAAGGAATTGATCAGAGATGGGCAGACCCAGGGCTTCTGCAGTATAAGAAATGTTTTCTTTCTTGATTTTAGCGGTGGTGACATGGATGTTCTCTTTGTAATTATTTGTTAAACTATATGTTTACTCCTTCTTTCCCTTCTTTTTCCCTTTTTTCTCTTCTCCTTCCTCTCCTCTCTCTCTCTCTCTCTCTCTCTCTCTCTCTCTCTCTCTCTCTCTCACACACACACACACACACACACACACACACACAATGACAAAGTGAAAGTGCTTCTTAATTCGGATATGGAGCCTTCACTAGTAAACAGTTCCCCACTCGTGAAGGACAGGACATTTTCACACATCACCACAATTTACGCTCACATCAGTTCCAGCTGGAAGGCAAGGCTGGATCCAGGACTCTCAGGGCTGAAACCCAAGCACCATTCTGTTGCTGCAACATTATAAAAAGCTACTGACAATGAAAGGACACTGAGGCTGGCTGGGCACATCACCCACTCTTCACTGTAGGGACAGGCAGTGCTTTCATAGCTGCCCTATGAAGGAGGTGCCACTGGACAACCCATTTCTATGGGTTTAACACCAAGGAGGTAAACATGTCCTGAAGTAGAAATTGATTTCACTTTTTCAGAGACCTGAAGAACAACCGTTATAGTCAGCTTGGGGAAAAAATAAAATGTGTACATAGGAATGAAAACAAAAACCAAAGCAAAGCAATGACTGCATGGCTGAGACTATAAGTCCAGCAGCGGACCTCAGCAAGGTCATGTAGGTATTAAATGATGGCACCAAGATTCACCAGGAGGCCTGGCCTTGACCTCGAGCCACCCTGGGGCCCTGGGTCCATCCACACAGGTACACTTCCCCCGCAGGCTGTTACACACGGTCCTCCTTCACGGGCCTCCCTGCCTGGTCCTCCTCCCATAAAGCAGGCCAGTCACTGCAGCTGGCCAGGGCTCGGCAAAGCCCTCCGGCTGGAAACTGAGAGACCAGATCTCCCTCAGGCACACTGTGGAGACCGATCCCCTCCAGTCTCTCCTCTCAACTTGAGCTTGCATGAAGACGCATCCCCTCCTCCGACCCCAGTTCCCAGTCCGCAGTCATCAATGCGTCTCACTGAAGGTGCTGGCATGTGCGGACTAGGGGCGAAGGGTCAGAGGTGGGAGCCATAGGTGTCCTTTCAAGTGGCTCTGCAGCCCTTCCCTGTTCGTGCTTTTTATTCTTTTATTGAAGGGGAACAGGAAGCAGAGCTTGGAAGTCAGAGAGTAAAAATAGCAAGGCTGAGGACCTCACAAAGTCCCTCTTGTGCTGGGAGCCTCTCGGCCCAAAAGCAATACTCAGCATGGGAACAAGGGGCCCATCTGTGAGCACAAGAACCCCCCCACTGCAGCCACCTAGAGCGCCAGCTCTGAGGACCTAGCTCCACCCTGGCTTCCTCCAGGGTCTGTTGGCAGAAAGCTTGTGTGAGGACCAAACTTGCCTCTGATCTCTCTCTCTCCTTGGGCTCCCAAGAGTCAGACAGAAACAAATTAGCATCCAGCAGCGCTGGAAATTTCCTCTCCTGCTGCGGAGGGCATGGGAAGGAGGACCGGGTGAGCTAGGAGTCTGTATTTAGCAAGGTCGGTAGTGCAGAGCCCCAAGATTTATTTCCCGCTTGTCTCAGAACCGCACTGCTCCCTTCCTCGGTGTGGGCGTGCAAGGCCCCGGGTGGGAAGACAAAGATAGATTAGTGCATTCCACAAGTATTTCCTGTCCCCTTTGGGCCAGGCTCTGCTTCTGAGCTGGGGATGCGGAGGTGATTAGGATAGACAGAGCCTTGTACTCGTGGCAGAGGGGAGGGCTCCACCAGCAACCTGGCAGGCTGGGGCATCCCCTGAATTTCTCGCTCAGGATGTCTGCAATGGGGCTCAACAATTTACATTTCTAATAATAGTTCCACTGGCCCAGGAAAATGCAAAAGGCAGTCATTACTCTCCATCAAACTCCATCTACTACTGGCTATAGAATAGAAAATATGAAGTATATACACAACTATTCACTGATTCATCTACTTATTCTTTCATCCTTTAGCACTAAAGGCTTCTCATCCACACCAAGTATTGTCAAGAGGCTGGGAATACAGCAATGGATGAAAGCGGTAGACCGGGCAGTGTGAGCAGTCACATCTGGGGATTGGGTGGGCGATCGAAACAAGATGGCCGGGACGGTCTCTCAGGAAACAACTAGATGAGCCCGCTTTGGGGAGGGACAGGGAACGGCATTTCTGGTGGAGGGAACGAGAGCAGAGGTCCCACAGCAGGAAAACACTTGATGCCATTACTACAGAAAAGGCTCTGGAATCAGGGTGAGTAACTTAGGATAAGGTTTAAAGCCCCACTGGCTAAAGGTTCAACTGTTAGGCAAAGGGAAATTTGAAGATTGTGTAAGGTTTATGTTTTAAAAGATCAGAAGAATAATGTGCACAATCCTCCCACTCCATTTTTTTTCTTTCTTTTTTTTTTTTGAGAGAGGGTCTTGCTGTGTAATTCAGGCTGGCCTCGAACTCACAGTGCTCCTCTTGC